TTTGCTTCTGTGAAGATTGACAGCCTTGGAGACCCTGTGGGGCAGTTCCACTCTGTCCTCTAGGGGCGCTGTGAGTCAGAATCGACTCCACAGCAGTGGGTGTGGTTTGGGCTTTGCTTCTGTGAAGATTGACAGCCTTGGAAACCCTGTGGGGCAGTTCCACTGTGTCCTCTAGGGGCGCTGTGGGTCAGAATCCACTTGACTGCAGTGGGTTTGGTTTGTTTTGGGCTTTTTTTCTGTAAAGGTTTCAGCCTTGGAAACCCTATGGGGCAGTTCTACTCTGTCTTATAGGGTTGGAATGAGTTGGAATCGACTTGATGGCAGTGGGTTTGGTTTTGAGAGTTTTGTTTTTTGTTTTTTTTTTTCTGGTGAGTATATATAAAGCAGTGAGAACTCTCATGTTGTGCTGTGTAAAGTAACGTAACCACTTTGGGAAACAAATTACCGTCCTGTAAAGCTGAACTTACTCATACCATATGAACTAACCATTCTACTCCTAGGTAAATTATTAGAGAAACCGGTATGCATGTGCCTCAGTAGACATGTACAGAATATTCATAACACTATTGTTAATAATGCAAAAAATTAGGAGCAATCCAAATGCCTGCTGTCACATAGGGGTCACTATGTGTTCTTGATAGTGGGTGCAGGAGTATTTGTTTATATTATTGCAGTTCAAGATGTTCCCTTCTTTTATTTATGCAGCAAATAAAAATGGGACAATACATCGGGATATATTCACCAGTGGAATATTATACAGCAGTAAAAATGAATAAACTAGATACGTGACATTGTGCATTTGTCAAAACCCATAAGAGTATCAGCATAAAGAGTGAACCCTGATGTAATTCATGGACTTTTAGTTAATAATGTTGTTGTTTTAGGTGCCAATGAGTTGATTTTCAACTCATAGCGAGCCCACGTGACAGAGTAGAACTGCCTCATAGGGTTTCTGAGGCCATAATCTTTAAAAGACCAGATTACTAAGTCTTTTCTCCTGTGGAGCTGGTAGGTGGGCTTTGAACTCCTGACCTTCTGCTTAGCAGCAGAGTGCTCAACCATTGTGGCCACAGGCCTCCTTTTAGGTAACAATAATGTATAATTGGTTCCTCACAGTCATAATGAATGTACCACATGAGTGGAATGCAAGATGTAAATAAGAGGAGAAAGTATGCAGTGGGTCGAAGGAGTGTGTGGGAACCATCTGAACTCTCTGCACAATTTCTTTGTAAACCTAAAACTAAAAAAAATAATTAAAAATTTAAGAAGTGAATGAACTAGAGAACCAATTGCTGTGGAATGGATTTTAACTCATGGAAACTGTACAAGTTGCAGAGTAGAACTGTGCTCCATGGATGTTTCAAGGCTGTGGCTTTTCAGAAAAAGGTCACCAGGTCACCTCCAAGGTGCCTCTGGGTGGGTTCAGACTGCCAACCTTTTAGTTAGTAGTTGAGCACTTCACTGTTTGTGCCACCCAGGGCCTCTGAATGACCTATGTTCTGTGTCCTGTAGCATCGATTCCTACTCACAGTAACCCTATATGACAGAGTGGAATTGCCCCTTAGGGCTTCCTGGGCTGTCATCTTTATGGAAGCAAGGCTCAAACCAAACCCACTGTTGCTGAGTAGATTCCAACTCACAGCGCCTCTAGAGAACAGAGTGGAACTGCCCACAGGGTTTCCAAGGCTGTCAGTCTTCACAGAAGCAAAGCCCAAACCACACCCACTGCGATGGAGTCGATTCTGACTCACAGCGCCCCTAGAGGACAGAGTGGAACTGCCCCACAGGGTTTCCAGGGCTGTCAATCTTCACAGAAGCAAAGCCCAAACCACACCCACTGCTGTGGAGTCGATTCTGACTCACAGCACCCCTAGAGGACAGAGTGGAACTGCCCCGTGGGGTTTCCTAGGCTGTAATCTTTATGGGAACAGATCGACAGTTCTTTCTCTCATGGAGCAGCTGGTGGATTCAAACCACCAACTTTTCAGTTAGCAACCAAAAGCTTACCCATTATGCCACCGAGGCTCCTTGAGTGAACTCAACTCATTGCCATTGGGTTGGATCCGACTCATAGTGACCCCTCCTTGGGTTTCCGAGGCAGTATCACTACGGAAGTAGATTGCCCAATCTTCCTCAGAAGGAAAATTAGGCAATCTATGAGCCGGAAAAAAAAAAAACCTCACTGCCATTGAGTCGATTCCGACTCATAGCAACCCACTTTGGTTTTCTGAGGTGGTAAATCTTTATTGAAGTAGATTGGCTAGTCTTCCTTCCTAGGAGTGGCTGGTGGGTTTGAACTGCCAGCCTTCTGGTTAATAGTCAGATGCCTTAGGCACTGGAACACCAGAGCTCCCTGATCATACTATAGCTCCGTGCAACCATGGATGAATCTGAGAAACATAAGGTTGGATGGAAAAAAAAAAAAAAAAAAAAGTTGTAGAAGAGAGTGTGATGGCATATTTTAAAATTCAAAAACAACAAAATTAATCAACATATGGTTTAGTGACACATATCTATGTGGCAAAACTATTTTTATTAGCTCAGAAATGGTTAAGTACAAAATTCAGGCAATCAGTTACCTAGGATGGAGAGATGGGGAGGAACCCAAAAGTGGATTCAAAGGTATTTATTAATATCCAGTCATTAAGATGGATAGTGGGCACAGGAGTATTTGTTTATATTATCGCAGTTCAAGATGTTCCCTACTTTTGTTTACGTATCAAATATCGCATCCCTTCTCAAACAAAGTTTATTACAAGGAGGGAGACTGGAATTCAGAATAAGAAAACACTCTTTAAGTAACAACAACAACCAAAAGAATGTGTTGAAAATGGAATGACCTGCCCTTGGGGTGCAGGAACTTCTGTCTCTGGAGAGGTCCAAGCAGAAGAAGAAGGGGTGTATGTTAAGGATGGTGGAGGGGGGACAGACGGGGACAGACAGGTGGAGGTGGGGAGGGGGCACCCAAGGTGACAGTGCAACTGTGAATACGAGGTTCAACTCAACCTCTAAATTCTGCTCCAGTTCCAACTCCATCCAGCGGGACTTCTGCATTTCTAAATCTCAATACATCCTGGCTTAGTTCTAGGTAAAATTATAGCACAAAAGTTGGGTTTTCAACTGTGTGTCAAGTATGGGTTTCGAACTGCTATGTGTTTGCTAGTTTTCTTTGCCTCACACGTACCAATATTTGTATTTTCACACAGCTTCAACTCCACTGACTCTGGTTTAACTCAAAGCAGTCGGCCAAAGGGTCGGCCAGAGTTGAATTTAGTATATTGGCCATGGGGGGCGGGAGAGGGCAGAAGACACCACTATGGTGTAAAATATTAACTTGTCTTGAGGAGGTAGTATTTTTGTTTGTTTCTTGCTATGAAACCATTATTTTAAAAATATTAAAATGCTGCTCATTGACGATGCTTTAGATACACTGCTTTACACGTTAAGAAGACCCTACTTCAGAAAGATGGACAGTGAGGATGCACTACTCTGTGTCTCTGACAGCGTTCCGGAGCCTGTGGTGGAATGGGTATTTTGTGATTCACAGAGTGAAAGGTATGATGTGTGTAATATAACAATAATATATTATTATATTACATATATTACATATATATTATTATTATTGTAATTATTGTTGTTGTTGTTATGTGCCATTGAGTCAGCCCCAACTCATAGCGACCCCTCCTTGGGTTTCTGAGGCAGTTATCACTACGGAAGTAGATTGCCCAACCTTCCTTCCGAGGAGTGGCTGGGGGGTTTGAACCGCCAGCCTTCTGGTTAGCAGGCAAGTACC